TGAGCCGAAGGCAGAGGCTTAACCCACTGAGCCACCCAGGCGCCCCTCCACTTTGTGTTTCAAATCAGATCTTTATTTTTCCTTGTGATTTGTATTGTTTGGCCATGCCAAAGAACTTCTTTCCCATCTCAAAGAAATACTCTCCTACATTTTTTTCTCTCATATGGTTCTGAACTGCCTATATATGATAAGAGGTAGAAATCTAACTTGATGTTTCTCAGTGTGATGCAACCAGTTTTTAAAATATTTTTTTGTTATTATTATTGTGTTTGGAAGTATGTTTTAGCATACCATTCGAAGGAATTGAGTTGGATAACTTGGTCCTTACCTTGTACTAATTGCCTAAACAACTTTTTGCGATCAGATTAATATTTAGGGGAACTAATTTAATTGATGAGTAAAAGTTTTAAGTAGTAGCTTCTGTTACTCTCATTGGCTAGTTCTTTCTGATCTTTTCTGTGTTGACATACTGTATTCATGTAGCATCTTACTTGTTTCTCCAGCTCTTTGCTTATCTCATTTGATCCTTAGAACAACTCCAGATGGAAAGATTGGGTATTAGCTCTGTTTTATAGATGTTGAGTCAGTTTCAGTGATTTGCCTGAGGCTCCTACAGCTAGTTTTATATTTCTGCCTATGGTTTTTTGTTTGTTGTTGTTTTTATTTGGAAAGATTTTACTTATTTGAGAGAGTGAGTGGAGGGAGAGAGAGCACAAGCCAGCTGTGGGAGAGCGACAGGGAGAGGGAGAAGCAGACTTCCTGCTGAGCAGGGAGCCCAGTGTGGGACTGGATCCCCAGTCATGACCTGAGCCAAAGGCAGAGGCTTAACTGAGCCACCCAGGAGCCCCTATACCTATGTTTTGTTGAGAAGAATTTGTTTGTCAGGCAGCTGTGGAGTATTGCTGATAATGAATAAAAGCCACCTCAATCCATTTTTCTGCTGAGTATGTATTAAAGGTAATATTTATGAGGTTTTCTTTTGTTAGCTTACCCCTTTTTCCCCCCTTCTCCTTTTTCTTGGAGAAACAGTCTTAAGCTTTATGGCTGTAACAATAATGGGTTTCTTTCACATTTGTACTTTCAGTGGGAAGGTGCTGAGGGTAAATGGTTTCATTTAGAGATTTGCTTATGGAACATTTAAATATTGTGAATGCTGTTACTCTCTAAGTATGGGAAATTTGGTATCTTTACAATCATACATACTATAATGTTTTCCATAGGATATATACCAGTATCCTTTAAACTTAGATTTTAACTACTTTTGCATTTAGATTTTTTAAAGCATTTTTGGTGTATACTCTGTTATTTATATTAAGTTCCTTGGGAACTTGGTGTTTCTAGGTAAACGGATTATGCACTTGGAGATAGAATATTTCTTTCGCTTCGTCAGTGTTATGAGATAAAGGTGAAATTATTTGTTATTAAATAAGTTGATGATTTTAACAATTGAGATGAAGCACATTCTTAAAATTAGGGCATCTTTTAATACTTTGTCAGGATTATGTAGTAAATCTTTTTTTAAAATATTATGCAGTAAATCGTAATATATGAGCTGATTCTTCAAAGATACCAATTTTATTTTTCTTTAAATATCTTTTTTCTGCTTTTTTTAGAGGAAGTATCATTCTGCAAAGGAAGCTTATGAACAACTTTTGCAGACGGAAAACCTTTCTGCACAAGTAAAGGCAACTGTCTTACAACAGTTAGGTATGTAATAGTGTACATTTAGTGTATTACAAGTTTTTCTCTTTATGATTTTTACGTGTCAGAAATAGCAAATATGTGGCTCATATATTCTATTCTTTTTCCTTCTTTTACCCAGAGTTGATAGAATTAATCTGAACTGAGCATATTTCCACCTTCTGCCAAGCATTGTCCATCTCATTTCAGTTCTTCAGTGTAGCTAGTCCTTTTAAATTATCAGAAATTATTCTCTAGTACTTAACCCGTGGGTGAAGGAGGTTGAATACTTCTTTGTGCTACATATACTTACCACTAAGTTAAGTGATTCATCTAGAGTCACTTGGTGGTTGGTGAGCTTGCTTTCATAGCTCTGTCAATAAGATTAACTGAAACATTTCATTTAAAAGTTGTGGAATATCTAACAGTATAGTGTTTTTGTACACATGTAGTATTCTAGTCTGATGTTAAAGATGAAGAAATGTAGCCATTTGGTTGTAATATGTTACCAAGACGATAGTGATTGAGTTCCCTACATTAGTTTTGTTATATAGTTATTGAGTCATGTTTCCTCTATGTATTTGTTATTTGGGTTTCCCCCCAGCTTTTGTTTATTTGTTTTTGGTCTGGGCAAATAATTTATTCTTAATTTTTAACCAATGTGTAGTAATATGAATATTTTCATAAATGTGACTATTACATAGTTTTAAAATCATTTAAGCCTAGATTTTATCACTAATCTTCATGATATTGATACATATCATATGATTAATTATACAAACTGAGCACATTGCCTTAATAAAACTTTCATTTTTAGTTTTGTTTTTAATTTAATCTCTGGTTAGAATTTTACTTGAGTTATCCTTACTTTCAAAAATGGCGGAACTATTTGAATATTTTTTTAGTAAGCTTACAGATCATGTTTGAGTATTGTGAATTTGTATCTTTAAATTAAAACAAGTTTATCCCTCTCTGTCCTCCCTCTACTTGCATGCGTGCGGGCTCTCTCTCAAATAAATAAATGAAATCTTTAAAAAAATTTATAACAAGCTTACTAGTAAAGAAGTTTTTTGTGTTCTTAAGTAAAAAGAACAAAGTAATGCCTTTGGCATAAGGCTGCTTACTCATTCAGCTAATATTTGAATATGAACTTTTTTTTTAATCCACACTATAAGTTTTTATGCATTTTAGATGCAGTGAAGAAAATGTCAATAGCAAAAATGCATACACCTTTTAAATTTAGGAAATAAATTGAAATAGTTTTGGATTATGTCTGAATCACCTGTCCTCTTTAGCGTCGTCTTACCATATTTCAGAGTGTGTAAGTATAATAAACTTCATGCTTTTGAAAGGAAAAAACCCTTCTCCTAATTAAGTCTAACTTATGCCTACACATCATGCTTAAGCAGCTCCTTTCAGAGCTTCTTTCTCTAGGTTCCGTTCTTAATAGTAATAGGGGATAACAGAGAACAGATGAGCAAACATGAACGTGTGATTGACATGTATTTCCATAAAACATAGTAACTCAGTCTCCTTGAAATACCTTTTGGAGCACAGCAACTATAATAAAGGTCAGAAAATAAGGGTTCTTATTTGTTATATGTAATATGGACTATACACGAAGAACAGAGCTGATTTTATGCACTTGAATTGATCCACAACTGAAATATGATTTCCCCAGCAAATTAAACCAAATTATTCCTGTGTATCTCAGAGGTTTTAGAATACAGTCAGTATTCCATGATCCAATCTTTTGATTGCTTACATAGCCCTTTCCTTTACTTTCCCTCTTCCCTCTTCCATACTACAAAAATTGTGCATATTTAAGGTGTACAACATGATACACCTATACATAGTGAAATGAATAGTTTTGGCAAGCTAATCAACAAATCCATTTCCTCAGATGGTTACCATTTGTTTTTGTGTGGTGGGAGCACCCAAAACCTACTCTCTTAGCAAATTTCCTATATATATATTATAGTATTATCAACTATAGTCATTCTGCTGTACATTATTCTCTAGACTTACTCATCCTACGTAACTGCAACTTCGTACCCTTAGACCAGTATCTCCCCATTTCCCCTACCTCCCCATTCCTGGTAACCACCATCCTACTATCTGCTTCTGTGTATTCAGTTTTTTGAGATTCTGCATATAATTGAGATTATGCACTATCTAAACTTATTTATTAAACATTTGTGGTACGCATTTTATACCATTTTTATTTACACCATTTGAATATACTTTTCTTAGCCTTGGGTTTTTTTTTTTTTTTAATAATTGCTGAATGCTTTATAGTTCTTATTTTAGATAAGTTGTGAACATATGTGGCCAGTGCCAGTGAGGCAGGGTTATATGTGTGTGTTGTACTCTGAGCTTATCATTGATTAAGTAGTATCATATTTATTGTTTTTGAAATGAACATTGGGTTAATAGACTGTCTTGGAGAGTCTTAAAATGTACATAAAGTTTTACATAGAGCACTGAATAAGATCAAACATCTTTATATTCTGTGTTTCATAACTTGGATTTTTTCAAATACCAAAAGTAGAAAAGAGGAACTGTAGTTTAATCTACTAAGTGTTAAATCAGTGCTTAATATCGTTTCAGTTTCTTGGGATAAAGTTCTTTATAGGTTTGACTATATCTTCCTGTGAGAAACAGACTTCCTTATGATCAGAATTAGCAGTTCTAAATTTTGGGAGTGTGTATGCCAAACTAAATGAATAAATTGACTGAAAAAAGAGTATTTTTACTTACATGTTTTCTGCTTGGTATTCTTAAAAAATTGAAGAACAATTAAGTCATTTAGGTAAATACTTTTTAATCATTTGCTATAGGTTGGATGCATCACACTGTGGATCTTCTGGGAGATAAAGCCACCAAGGAAAGCTATGCTATTCAATATCTCCAAAAGTCCTTGGAAGCAGATCCTAATTCTGGCCAGTCCTGGTATTTCCTCGGAAGGTGAGACTATACTTGAGTTTTCCTTTGGTTTATTCCAGCTAAGAGATTTGAATTATGAGCTAAAAGGTTTGTTTACATTTATAACCTGATCAGTGTATTATCCTTTTTAAATATATTATCACAAAGATTTCTGGAAGTTAAAGAAAACTTCGGAATGTGATAGTTTTCTCACAGCATAATCTGGTCTACTGGGACATTTCTTATTTTGCTTGTTAGATTTTCATTTGACTTGAATTATTGCTGGTTTTTAAAAAGTCTTATTAGATAATAGTTCTTTATTCTAGCATTTAAATACACTTTCTTTTGAATTCTAGTTTTTTTTTTTCAATGTGTCAAACAGAACAGAATTAATTTCTTATTCTGCCTGGTGACAACCAGTAGCCAATGGGACCTTTCTATTTATAATTTTAGATAGTGATATATAGGTTAGGATGGACATAATTTGATTAATGTAGGTCTCAAATCAGTTCTGCTTGACATCCCACAGTGATAAAGTGGATACATTATTAGCGGTTTTGTTGGAAAGGAGAAGTGACATATAATGAAAATAGTTTTCTATATGTCTATAACCTTTTCTCTATACTTTAGATGCCAAAATTACTGATTATTTGAAATATACCTTTTGTATATGTATCTGATAGATTTATTATTTTGGGCCATTATTAGATTGTATTTTGGTTCCTAACTGGTTTTAGCTTTTGTGGTATGGTGGAAAGATCAATGTACTAGATGTTGAGAGGCTTGGATTCAAGTCTTGGTTAGGCTACTATATGTGGAATCATGGATGGTACAGTTAAACTTTTTGATGCTTCAATTTTCTTTTAACCTATTAAAGAAGAGGATTATGTTAGATCGTTGGTTTTCATAGGGGACTATTTTGTCCCATAGAGGACAATTTATAATGTGTGGAGATACTTGGTTATCACAGCTATGGGGAATGCTACAGACATCTAGTGGGACAGCCCTCTAGAACAAAAAATTAACCTCACCCAAAATGTCAGTAGTGACGAGGTTGAGAAGCCCTGGGTATAAATGTCTGTTAGGTACCTACTCACCCTAAGGGTTTCAATTTTGTGATTTCTTTTGAAATTATCCCATTTTGTTTTAATTTAGCTCTTTGAATTTTCCATATAATCATGTTAAGTTTTAGCATTCTTTATGGTTTCATTTTTCCTTTAAATTTAGAAAAGTGTGTTTCTATGAGATGGAGTAATATTAAGATTTTTTTTTTAAATTTTGATAAGTCACTAATAATGTACAGTAAGAGTTGGCTGGGAAAGTACCTATTTTTAGCAGAAATGTTCTAATGCCTTCCAGGGCTTATAAAATCATCTAATTTGGGTTGCTCACTAGAAAAGCTTGAGAGTCCAAATTTTGTCTTTCTCTCTCACTGAAGATATTTGGGAGCAGAAGCTGGATCTTACCATCTTTGTATATTCTCACCTAGCAAAGTGGCTATACAATAAATGGAATAAATGAACTGACTGAACATCATTTGCATTTGGAGCTGGCACCGTTGCTGGTGTTAGTGTTGCACAGTGGGAGGCTTCATACAGGGACTGGAAAGGAGATTCAGTACTGGGAAGTAGGGGCTGCCTAGTCATGGCCTCTAGTGTTAACATTTATACGTGAAAATTTATTTCAATATATGTTAAAAGGCATGTGTACCAGAGATTATTTTCCTTTTGACCTAAAGATAAGTAGTTAAATACAATACAGTAGTGTTGTTGTCTTTTTAGTATGCTTTTAAAAAATTCTAGGCATTTAAATATCTAAAATTACTATTTTAGTAATGCTATAATTTTCAGCTCTGTGAACAGTATTCCATGGGAGGGTGTTTTTTTGTTTTTTGTTTTTTTTTAAATTTTAGTAACTGACTTCATATTTTAAGCCATTGAGATGCTTTTATTCGAATCTTTTCAGATAAAATTTTCCAGATACGCGACATGCTTTATGATTTCTCAAATAAAGGATACTTACCTCAGTTTAATTTGTTTTGGAGTTCAAGATTATCATGTTAGATGTTAATGATTTTTTTTATCCATAATAACATAATTCGACAGTTGTTTTAGACTTTTTTCATTGATGTTTACTTTTTTTTTTTTAAACCTCGTTTCACTGCCTACTGACGTGTTGCTTCTAATCCTTTTTGTTGTGAGAAAATTTTTGTAAATAGTGTGTATTTTAAAAGTTATTAAAGCTCTTGGGGCGCCTGGGTGGCTCACTGGGTTAAGCCTCTGCCTTCAGCTCAGGTCATGATCTCACGGTCCTGGGATCGAGCCCTGCATCAGGCTCTCTGCTCCGCACGGAACCTGCTTCCCCCGCTCTCTCTCTGCCTGCCTCACTGCCTACTTGTGATCTCTCTCTCTCTCTCTTTCTCTGTCAAATAAAATAATTAATTAATTCTAAAAAGTTATTAAAGCTCAGAATGACAACCTCAAGTGTCAGATAACTTTGGGATTTGATGACCCTAATATTTCTGAGGCTTTTCATACTTACCTTTGCCTTCAGGTGTGTGTTGGAGATGTCATTTGGCTTGTCTGTATCATAATACAAGGATAGTGTGGTAATGCTCTTATACTAGTACTAATCACTAACATTGTTACCACAGAACTATAGAATGTTAGAGCAAGGAGGGAACCAGGGAGGTCACCTCCTTCACTCTGTAAACCCTTCCATTTTATAGATATAGAAAGTGAGTTCAGAGAAGTAAAATGTTTTGTCCAAGGTCATAGTCACACAGGTAACTAAGTCAGAACAGGAACTAGAGCCTAGGTTCACTTTCTGCTTTTTCAGAGACACAAGGCTGTCTCAGGGGAACTTAAGTTTTATTAGAGGAAAATTGGTTGGTGGTTGGACTGGGACATCTGCATTTGGGCACATTGGTTTCCTACTTTCACTTTGTAGGAATGGAATGTGAAAACATTGGTTTGGGGAATTACTGCTTATTCCTCCCAGTGGTGAGGTAAATTTGTCTATAAATCTGAGATTTGGCTTTGATTTAAGAACAACAAACAGAATGTTTTTTTCTACTATCTGTTAAGCATTTCCTTCCTTCATGGTATCTGTCCCTATTTGGCATTGTTAATGACTTCTCCTGAATTCTCCCTTAGTAAAGGAGACACTGCCTTCTCTGTTTCAGTCACTGACATTTGTTATTGCCCAATCCGCAAAATTAGTGATTCCTTAGGCTTATTTTCACCTCTCCCTCCTAGGTGTCCTGTGTTCTTACACCCTCTCTTTTATGTGGATAAATTTCAAACCTAGATCTCTGTATTTCAAGGTATTAAATTTCAGGACCACATCTATTCTTTACCTAACATTATCCATTTTAGTGTTCTCACCTCACATCAAAGTAAGCATATTTCAAACCTCATTCATCATATTCTTTTCCAAATCATCTCCTCTTCTTTTAGTTTTGCCAATGAGGTCACCTTTTATTTATTTATTTTTTAAAACTCTCTTTGCTCAGGCTTAAATCTAAGTTATTACCCACGGATATCTAATCAGTCGGTCACAAAGTCTTTATCTGTCTTTTTGGTTTACTTTTTCTCCCTTCTTTTTCTTTCATGCCATGTTCTTTTATCCCAGTTTTGGCCTGCTCCAAGTCAGTGAGTATAGCTGCCTTCTTTTTTACTGTCCATAATTTATTTTCCTTCCAGTTTATCCCTACACATTGTTAGCAGATTAATATTCCTGTGAAGTACTTTCATGGTGCCATTTCTCTTGTTAGAAGAACAAAAATTTCAGTTATCCTCAGGCTGGATTTATAATTCTCTACTCTTTGTATCTGTGCTGTCTCCTCTATATTGGGTTTTGCTCATCCTCTTCAAACAACATTTTGAAATGCCTTCTCTCATCTTCTCTGTCTGAATCAGTGGTTCCTGAGACTTTTGGATTACATGAATCAGTAAAATTCCAGAGAATAATCATGAGGATCTAAATATGCTATTTGGGCACGTAAAAACACTTACGAATTTTTTTTTTTTTTCTTCTAAAGATTTTATTTATTTATTTGACAGAGAGAGAGATCACAGGTAGGCAGAGAGGCGGGCAGAGAGAGAGGAAGGGAAGCAGGCTCCCTGTTGATCAGATAGCCCGATGTGGGGCTCGATCCCAGGACTCCGGGATCAATGACCTGAGCTGAAGGCAGAGGCTTTAATCCACTGAGCCACCCAGGCGCCCCACACTTACGAATTTTTTACTGTTTACCCGGCCAGTTATATTTCAAAATAAGTTGGTTTCAATAAAAATATTAATTAGTTTAATGGAAAATTTATGTATGTAAGTGCATGTTATTTTTCAGTCTTATTTTCATGGTCACATTGCCATACACTGGCTGATAATGAATAATCAGTGATCTAAACTTATATGCATTATGCATATTCAGATTCCTTAGTGTTATCCTTCCCTTGCTTTTCCTAAATCCTGTAGTGTATATTGTGGTGTCTTCTACCCTAAATTCTCAGACCAGTTCTTGTCTATGTCAGCCATGTGATTACGGCATCATGACATTTGTAATGTGTCTTCAGTCCTCAACTAAATTGTAAGCTCCTTAAAGGCAGGGACTGGGTTTTATTTTTTTCTTTTTTCCTTAGTGCAAAGCACTAAGAAGATAATTTCTGTATTTATAGTTCCAGCTGCTGTTCTGTATCCATCCAGTACATCTGCATTAAGAAAATGACAGGTCCTTGAAACTTTAATTATCCCTTCTTCCCTTATGTGATGTGAAATATTGTACTCACCTTATTATTACTGTTTTTGATAGTTAGCTTGATTTTTACCTGCATCTTAATATTTGTATTTTTTACGAATTACAGAGTGGTTGACCTCATGGTTATTATTTAGGAAAGGAGAACTGAAATCTGATTTGGCAAGTCTTACCAACATAGAATGGTTTTCTTGGTTTTTAACTCTGTATTTTTAATGAATGTAAGCTATATAAATAGATCAGGCTGTTCAAGTGTAATGGCCCGTGCATGTGTATGCACATATGTGCTTTCAACTCTATATGATATTGAAGTAATATGGCCTTTAATTATTTTAATATTCATTAATGCAGCATGCTTTAGCACTTACCAGATCAACTATAGTATAGTTTACTGAGTGGTTAATTATAACTTACATTATAATTTTATATATATACACACATTCACAGAAATATGTTAGCTTGTTAGGATTTTTTATTTGCTTTGATATGTGTAGTCCATTTTTCAGAAAATTAATTTATCAGTATTAATGGAATTGTCTGGATTTTTTCCCCCCTCCCTTCTCAGGTGCTATTCAAGTATTGGGAAAGTTCAGGATGCCTTTATATCTTACAGGCAGTCTATTGATAAATCAGAAGCAAGTGCAGATACATGGTGTTCAATAGGGTAAGACATTATATAAAAATAATGGTATTATACTTGATATACAGCAGTTGCATCACATGTAATGTACTTGGTAGTTAATACCATGTGAGAAGCTAAGTAGTTTTCTTAGTTGACCTATTTTTTTTTTTTCTTCCTCTTTCTAGCGTGCTATATCAGCAGCAAAATCAGCCTATGGATGCTTTACAGGCTTACATTTGTGCTGTACAATTGGACCATGGCCATGCTGCAGCCTGGATGGACCTAGGCACACTCTACGAATCCTGCAACCAGCCTCAAGATGCCATTAAATGCTACTTAAATGCAACCAGAAGCAAAAGTTGTAGTAATACCTCTGCACTTGCAGCACGAATTAAGTATTTACAGGTAAAACTTTTAAATAGCAGTTTTTTAAAAGCATATGTTTCCCTATGACACTCAGGCAGGAGGCGGGTGGCTGGAAAGTTTGTCTAGTTGTGTTTTGATGTCTATAATTTGTTTCCATATTTTGTAAACATACCATAGCTTGTAATATTATTTTAAACTTTTCATTTTAAGTAAGATATGCAGTACTTAAAAGATGCTCTTTTGCACATTTACTGTTGATGCATATTAATTTACATAATTTTTTTCTATGTGCTGTCTACATTTTTAAGTTGTCATAGCATTTTAGAGCAAAGAACACAAACACTGTCTTTCACTCTTGCTTGGAGTTTCATGAGAAGACAGCTATGAGAACTCTGAAAACAGAGCTCAGCTTTGTTTTAATTCTCACAAAGGTTTATATTCCGGTTACCCTCTTTATACTTAGTATCTTTCTGAAACCCCAAATTAAGAATCTATTTTCTTTTAAAAACAATTAGTTATAGCATTTAGGAAGATTTAGTGGACTTGCTCTTACTCAAGTAGGCTTGTGTTAAATTTGCTTTTTACATAATTTTTCCTAGGCTCAGTTGTGTAACCTTCCACAAGGTAGTCTACAGAATAAAACTAAATTACTTCCTAGTATTGAGGAGGCGTGGAGCCTACCAATCCCCGCAGAGCTTACCTCCAGGCAGGGTGCCATGAACACAGCACAGCAGGTGAGAAGTTGGGTTATGTTCTGCAGGTGCCCAGCTTTAAGGGTTCTTTTCAATCTATAGTGGTCAAGCGTATTTTACTAAGTACAGGAGGCTTTTATTAATGAAAAGCCTTTTGCTGTAATTGTGAAGGGAATCTAGATCAAAATAAAACTCCCTCTGATATGGGAAGAAATTTTGGGGTGCCAATTTAGAACCTTTGTGCATTTTATGATTTTGAAGGAGATTTCTTAAAATAATGCTGCAGTGGTTTGTTTAATTTTTAAAGCAGTTTTTCAAAGGAAGGTACACATTCCTCCATTGATGATTCATTTGATTTTGATTTTCAATAATTGCATTCAGCGATGTCCACACAGCTTTGAAAAGTATGCAGTTTGTAAAGTTTTATAATTTGAAGGAATGAACTAAGAATATATAGAACCCTATTTTTGTCTTCCTTCTGTGATTCTTAGGCATGTAAACCTCATCATCCAAATACTGAACCTGTAGTAGGCCTCAGTCAAACACCAATTTCACAGCAGTCCTTGCCACTACACATGATTCCTTCTAGCCAAGTAGATGACCTGTCCAGTCCTGCCAAGAGGAAAAGAACATCTAGTCCAACAAAGGTATATGTTTTAGAGAAATAGAAAATCCCATTCAAAAAGGAAACTCCCAACTGCCCTGAACTTGTGCAGTTTGACTGTCTCCTGTTTTTTATTTTAAATCTGTGGACATCAAAGAGTGAAAGGTTTGAGTTTTCCATCCCAAATTCTTAGCATCCTATTAAATATAGAAAGTAGGGATAAATTTGCATTCATCAAATCATTTTATTCATCTCCCTGCCGTTAAGATCTCAACACACTTTTCATCATCACTTTCTACTGACATTGAGATTTATTTATTGTTGGATCTAGTGGACAGTGTGGTGTTTAGGTTAGCCATTTGGGCCATAGTTTAGGGGTGGGCCTTTTTGGGTGGCTTATTAAAGAATCAATATTTTTGTTTTAAATTTATGATTTCCCAAATTTATTATGCATGTACAATTATTTTTAAAAGAATTTAATGTCTTAACGTTTTTTATATGTAATATTCCAGTTCATAGTCATTTGGCCTTCATTAGTCATTGTTGTTAACTCCATGGATTTAACCAAATGTTCTTTAATTTTATTTTTTTTTTTTTTATCAATTTTCCTCAGAGCACTCCCGACAATTGGAGTGGTGGCCATGCAGTGTCACAGCCTCCAGTACAACAACAAGCTCACTCGTGGTGTTTGACGCCACAGAAATTACAGGTGTGTGAGATGTGCTTCTGACAGATTGTGTTTCCTCTTCAAAAAGAGTAGAAGCAGTGAACTTTAAATTTTGAAGTATTCTTAAAGTTGAGTGGCAGTAAATTCAATTAATGTGCACATAAGCAAAATGAACCTACTTTTATCAGAGTACTGGGATCATTTAGTCTTGATTTTTCACTTATTTTTAGTTTTATTTTTAAACAGGCAGTATATCCACAGGGTTCAAACTGCATCAGTATGATTATAGTCTATATAGAGTAAATTCTCTTTCCAGTTCCTGCTCCTGCCCACTTAGTTCTCCTTTTGACAGCCAGTCTCTGTTATTAGTTGACCGGTCTTTCCTCAGATATGGCATGCATGTACAAGCAAATATGCATCCTCCTCCTTTCATACGTTACTATTTTTCTCCTTTTTTACACAAATGGTACAATGTAATATATATTGTTAACAACGTATTTTTATAGACCTTTCCGTGTCAAGTGTGTAAAAGAGCTTCTTTGTTCTCTTATGACTGTGGCGTATTTATGTAGATTTCACACCTTTATTTAAGCAGAGCACTTGTTTTGGATGGTCAGGCTGTCTTCAAACTTTTCTTATTCCGAACAGTGCTGCTTTGAGTGTACCTGACATGATGCATTTGTAAGCTTAAAGAACTTTCTGTTTGAATACCGAAAAATACTGTATTGACAAGTAAAATTTTATGCCCATTTGTCTCAAATATCCCATTATAGTAAACCTCTTTAGGTGAATGTTTACTTCTTACTTTCTTAAACTTAAAGGGCTTCATCTTGGGGTTGATTACTGTTGATTGGGAATCTGTATCTTTGACTAGATAGTGGTTTTGAGTTGGTCTAGTTGTTTTGGGACAAGGTTGCATAGAATAGTGAGCTTGAGCTGGTTTCTTAGATATGCCTTTGACTGTATTCTCCTTTCTTCTTCTTCCTAGCACTTGGAACAGCTCCGTGCAAATAGAAATAACTTAAATCCAGCACAGAAACTGATGCTGGAACAGCTGGAAAGTCAGTTTGTCTTAATGCAGCAACACCAAGTGTGTATAGCGTTTTTTCCCCCTAAAATTTGTTAGCATTTTGAGTATTTTTCTTTACTAAAACATCCTTTTAGAGCATGTTCATGCCCACTTCTTTCTGCCAGTTTTTGCTGGAAGTTAGTAGTCTTGCGTCCTAAAATATTAATAGTGGACAGAGATTTTTAGGTAAAAACAGCTATAAATTTCATTTTGAGCACAAGACGTGGTATTGTCTTACTTATTTACATGCTATTTTGCCTGTGTTCTAAGGGTTTATTTATATTATTTATTACTTAACAAGCTATCCGAAACTGAGGTGAGGTTCTTCAGGACTTGTTTAGTTTGGAGGATCTGGCATATAAATAAAACAGAATGAAAATTTGAGATTCCTTGTTTGTTTGCTTAGGGAAAGGACCTGTAAATTCCAGTTTCCATAATTATCAGCTGCTTTCTTTTATCATTACTGAAGGGATGTTTCTCAAAACAGATTTCTGTTTTTTTAAGGGAGCTAATCAAAATATGAACAAACAAAATTTTTTATTTTTAAAAGTGTGTATTTTTCAACCTAGAGAAATTAAACATTAGGATAAGATAGAGATTACCTGGTTACACACCTTCATGTTCTGATTCTCAACTTTATGGGCCACATAAGCAGCATTTATTTTTCATTTGCTTTTTGACAGATGAGACAAACAGGAGTTGCACAGGTACGATCTACTGGAATTCCTAATGGGCCAACAGCTGACTCATCACTGCCTACAAACTCAGTCTCTGGCCAGCAGCCACAGCTTGCTCTGACCAGAGTGCCTAGCGTCTCTCAGCCTGGAGTCCGCCCTGCCTGCCCTGGGCAGCTTTTGGCCAACGGACCCTTTTCTACAGGCCATGTTCCCTGTAGCACATCAAGAACGCTGGGGAGTACAGACACTATTTTGATAGGCAATAATCACATAACAGGAAGTGGAAGTAATGGAAACGTGCCTTACCTGCAGCGAAACGCAGTCACTCTACCTCATAACCGCACAAACCTGACCAGCAGCGCAGAGGAGCCGTGGAAAAACCAACTATCTAACTCCACTCAGGTAATAGAAGGACTAGCTGCTTTGTTGGCTTCTCACATAGTAGTTGTCTTTATTTGGTTTATGCATTTTGAGAGGAAAAAAAAGTTTGAGGAACTGTTTTTATAAGCATTTTATAGTACTGTAATGTTATTATCTACATTTTGACTCTCTATAGACACACACACACAAGTATACTTTCTTTTCCATTATGAGATTCTCCCCACGCATGCGCACACCTGCACAATCTTGGAACCCCCCCCCAAAAAAATAGATCATACAGTCCTCCAAAACTTTCTGGTAACTTATAGTGGCATAAATATTTATGTAATATTACTCAGTTCATTTCTACATGTATTGCCTGCTTAAGATCAGGTGCTTATGCTAAGTTTTAGCTATTCACTGTGGTAGGTGAAAAAGTTCATTAAAGAAGCAGTTACCATAAATTACTATGAAACATGACTTTGGTGAAAAGTGCTGCCAGAGTACCTAGGAGGGCACATAAACTAAGATGTTAAGAGTCTCCAGAAATTGGAGAATTGGGGAAGGTAGAGAGGTGGTAAAGTGTGCCTAGAGTATAGATTTTGAAGAGGGAAGGACAAAATATCAGGCTGAGGAAGGTAGAAAAAGTTGCCTAATTTGTCTTGAAGGCAAAGTGGAGTCACTGAAGTTTTCAAAACAGAATAATGGATTTCATGAACATTATTTCTGTCAAGAATATGTGCCATATTTTACTCAGTTCACTGTTCAACATAATTTTTAAGTTTTTACTTCTAAATATTTATGCACATAGTTTTTCCTATGTTTTGGATTATTTCCATGGAAAGGATGTTTCAAAGTGGAACTGAAGTGTCAGAGAGTAAGCATCTAGAAAAATGTTGCCAATACACATTGCCAAATTATCTGTACTTTTATTAGTCTGCTGTAAGAAATATTGGACTTACTGCTGGTTAGCCTTATATTGGTCAAACCAAGATAAGTTCTTTTTCTAAGACTTCTAAGTTTATTCTTAAAGTACTACTGTTGGTGGGACCATCTCTTCTAGAATGATTAGTGGTTTTATTTATCCTTAAATGTTGAACACCTACTGTGTCCATGTCCTGTTTGAGGTTCCAGAGGTAAATCAGCAAACACACAAAAGTGTCTTAATTCATGCAGGTAAAAAACAAAACAAAACAAAAAAATAAACAACCATTATATATAGAACATTAGGTAATGCTATGATTAGTTCTCTGGAAAAGTGTATTAGAAAGGGGAGCTGGGGAGTGCTAGAGATCAGTAGTAGTAGAGGATTCACAATTATAAATAGGAAAGTCAGAGAAGGCTTCACTGGAAGGTGACATTTGAATAAAGACCTGAAAGAGTTAAAGAAGTGAGCCTTAAAGGTATTTGCGGTAAGAGTGTTCCAAGCCCGGGGAGCAGCTAGGAGCAGTAGGCCCTAAGGTAGGAGTGTATTTTGGATTTTTTGAGGCAAATCAAGTTGGCAAGCATGGCTGAGCCGGGCCAGCTAAGGGTGAGAAGGGAGGTAAATGTGGCCCAGCCGGAAACAGGCTGTCTGCATCATTTTCAACCTTGAAGGCCATTATAAGGGTATTGGATTTTATTATGTGTTACATGGGAAACTGTAGGGGGATTTTGAGTGGAGGAGTAACATGATCTGACTTAGTTTTTAACCAGATCCTCTTTGGTACTCTGTGGATAGATTAAAGGAGGCAAAGGTAGAAATGATGTGACTGATTTGGAGATTATTGCTGTAAACCGGGTTAAGAGATGGTGGTGGCTAGACCCAGAATGGCAGCAGTAGAAATGGTCAGCTTTTGGGTTCATTTGGAAGGTAGAACTGATAGGATTAGCTTATAGAGTGGGATGTGAAAGAGAGGAGGAATCCAAGGTAATGGGACCCACCTCAACTGGTGAATAAGTCTGGGTGGGCTCACGTGGGTGTGGAGAGGAAGCAGTAGATGGAGGAAAGAACTCAAGACCCTGAGCCTTGGGGCATTCCATTGTAGTAAGTCAGGAAATTGAAGAACTAGCAAAGAAGGCTAGAAGAGGAATGACCTGTGAGGTAGTAGGAGCTCCAGGAGAATGTAAGTGATGCCCTGGAAGCCAAGTGAAGAAAATCTTTGAAGGAGGAAAGCATGATCAAAGTATAAATCATATAGTACTCATTGGCCTTGTAAGGTAAGGACTGGGAATTGACCATCAAGCCAAATGTACCTCATGACCATGCCTGCTTTTGTTACTGTTTTTGTTTTACAGCCTACAAATGAAGAATGGATTTTGCAGTTTTAGAGCATTCTTTAAAAAAAAAAAAAGTGTAACAGAGACTATATGGCCCACAAAGCCTAAAATATTTTTTATGTGACACTTTACAGAAAACATTTGGATGAGAAAATTTCAGTGGATTGGTGGGGGCCCAAAGCCTAACTGTAGTGGGCTTTAGCGTAAAATGGAAAAAGAAATTGAAAGCAATAAATGTAGACAGTTCCAATACAGATACTTCAGTCATGTGGGCTGTGTACTGCACAGTGCCAGGCGTGCCATCCCCACAGATCATGACATAAAAAGGAAGAAGAGAAACAGGTAATAGCTGGAAGGGAAGTAGGACTAAGAGTTTCTGTTTTTTTTTTTGTTTTGTTTTGTTTTTGTTTTTAAAGATTTTATTTATTTATTTGACCGACAGAGATCACAGGTAGGCAAAGAGAGAGGAGGAAGCAGGCAGGACCCTGGGTTCATGACCTGAGCTGAAGGCAGAGGCTTTAACCCACTGAGCCACCCAGGCGCCCCTAAGAGTTGTTTTTTGTTTTAAATTTAAGTTGGGAGAAATCAGAAAAAAGGTTAAGGGGGGAGGTGAAAGCTATTGGGCAGCATTAGGTATAGAGGGAGAAATTAACACAGGAGGAGGAGAAAATTGTTAGAGTAGGTGAGAGGATGAGATTTTGGGGGGTTCCGGTTCATTAACATTAAAGGATTGTTAAAAGAATAACATGAGATTTTTGATAGAATGCCTATAGTGCTAAGGTATAATTGGCAGCTAATAAATGAGAACTTTGGTTATGCTGTGTAA